AATCAAATGCAAGGATTATTATTATTATTAAGCGATGTTAGTAGGGGAGAGAACATTTATTACATGAACGTGTGCCTATTTGGTGACATTTTAGTCAGTCAGCAATGCGGCATACTGCGAGTGGGGCCTGATAAAGGGAGTACAGTGGAGAGAGCCTGGCTACTCACTGAAAGTACAAGGTCAATGGGGCTTGAATTAATCCTGATCCATGTCCCCATCACCACAAGTGCCTGTCAGAGACATCGAGGGCTGCGGAGGATGTGGAGAGCAGAGATTGACAAGAGGACAGAGTGCTCTGTGTGCACAGTTGCATCTGTGTGTGTGTTGGTGTAGTTCTGTGTGTTTAGTTGCATGTGCATGTATTTATTTGTGTACGTGTAGTTGGATGTGTGTAGGTGATTGTATAGTTGCATGTACATGTTCATGTAGTTGAGTGCGTGAGTGTATAGGGAGGGGTGTGTGTGTATGGTTGTGTGTAGGGGTATGTGAGTGTGTAGGGGTGTGTGAGTGTGTAGGAATGTGTGAGTGTATAGGGGTGTGTGAGTGTGTAGGGGTGCTTCTGTGTTTAGGGGTGCGTGTGTGTTTGTGTAGCGTTGCATGGGTGTGCATATGGGTGCAAGAGTGTGTGTGTAGGGGTGATGTGTGTGTAGTTGCAGGCTCGTGTGTATGTAGGGATGCATGTGTGTGTGTGTTTAAGGATGTGTGTGTGTCATTGCATGCATGTGCGTGTGTGTGAAGTTGTGTTTGTAATAAATTGCAGCAGATGCAGCAGAGTGTCACAGTGACAATCACGCCTTTACTTTTATGCTGACAAATCCACAATCATTACAGTTGACAGCGATTCTCTTTGAAAAGTTTCAACTTTTGAAAGGCACAAGAATTATTATTATATGTTGAAATCAAACTCCCTTCTCTTTTCCAAAAATACCATGAGATCTTTAACAAGCGCTCCGGGACGCTACCCCTGGTGCAGGGTGCTATATAAATACAAGTTATTGTAACATCCACCTGAGCAAGCACGGACGGGATCCTAATTTAGCATCTTATTTGAAGGACGGCACCTCCAATGATGCAGCCCTCCCCCCAGCAGCACATTGGAGAGCGTGAACTGTGAGTTCAAATTCCCAGTGTGGGGATTGAACTCGTAACAAGACCAGGAGGGCGGCTATTCACTGTTTTGACACTTTATCAGATCATGGCAGCTCAATATCGCAAGATCGGATTGAATAATTTCTAACCATGGTTTGCAGTGGCACACAAGCAAGCTGGGAAGTGTTGAGGTGTGATCTGCTGTCTATTTCCCTCCATAATAGTTGCTGCATGTGCTGCAGATTCACTCTTCACACACGTAACCGTTTCCTAACCTATGCTTTTACAACAACAACCACTTACACTTATATAGCACCCTCCATGCAGGGTAGTGTCCTAGAGCGCTTAACAATGGTGGACCCTGATTCTGAGCCGGGGTGGGAGGGGAGGTGCTGTAAGCACAGTCGAAGAGGAACAGGTTTCCAGGAGGGATTTGAAAAAGGGGAGGGAGGGGGCAAGGCAAAGGGATTGAGGGAGAGTGTTCCAGAGTTTCGGGGAGTAGCGGCTGAAAGCGCGATCTCCAATGGTGGGGCGGAGGGTGTGAGGGACGAGCAGGAGACCGGTGCCAGTTGAGCGGAGGCGCTGGTTGGTGGAATGAGGAGTGAGGAGGTCAGAGGGGTAGCGAGGTGCCAGAGAGTGAAGGGATTTGAACACAAGTGTGAGTGAGGCTTAGATTAGATGTTTTAGATTAGATGTTTGGTTGCTCCTGAGTTTGCGTTTCATCTAAAATAAATCTGATGTTTTGGTTGTATCCGCTGACCTGGCCCAGCTCACCTTGCTATGGCCTGTTGGTGAACAGATGCAGTGGGGGTGGGGGGGCACCTGGTGATGGCACTGTTGCTTGAGCCCCTCATGCTGTGCACAGGCTGGGAAACCCCCATCACACCAGTCCTTGCCAGGCTCCACTGGCTCCCAATTACCAAATGGATCGATTTCAGGATCCTCTCACTCGTTTTCAAATCCGTTCATGCCCTGACACCTCCCAACGTCTCCGACCTGCTTATTACCCAATCGACTGCCCATCGCTTCTGCTCGACTGGTCTCCTGTTTGTCCCTCTGTTCTACAACCCGAAACTCTGGAACACTCTCTCTCAATCCCTCTGCCTTGCCCCCTCCTTCCCTATCATCAGGTTGTGCATGAAGACCTTCCTTAACTCCCACATTGTTCAGCATCAGGCTCCACCACTGTCAAGTGTTTTTGAGATGCTACCCTGTGTGAAGGGCGCTATATAAATACAAGTTGTTGTTGCTGTTGTTGCAGTTTTTGCTTGTGCAGCTGGAATCTTTGACATACCAAAGAGAGAGCTCCTTTAAAGGCTAGTTATTGAGCGGATGGTGGGGAGAGGGGTGGGTGACTGATGCAGATGACCTGCACAAGGGAAAGTCATTTTATGGAAGTCATTTGAGGAAAGTGTGTTCTGGCAAGTTTTATGCCAAGGATGTAACCGTCTGTCAGACTGTCTGTTTACACAGGAGGTCGGATGGTGCTCAGAGTGAGAGTGAGGTCTGGTTTAATGATTTTGGATGTGAGTTCTGTTTGTGACGATGAATCCAATATTCGTCCTGTTTCAGACACCTCCCTCTCTCTCTCCCTCCCTCCTTACATACATGTCTCATCAAGCTCCCACAGCACTCGAGCGCTGTCCTCTCTCCAGGTACATTTGTCACACATTTGACACCCTGATGATGAACTAAAACACAAAGCCCGGGCTAGACAAGCAGCAGTCTCCTGCCCAGCCCACCCACGTTGAGAGTGGCGACCATCACTCACCCAGTGATGGGAGTAACGGCCTGCTGCCAACTACAACAACAACAACAAGATTCCATTTATAGAGCGCCTTCCACATTGGGAGGACGTCCCAAGGCGCTGGACAGTTGGACTAATGCTCACACTAAATGAGAGAGAACTAGGGTGGTAGCGGGGGAGGGGGGCTCTTGCAAATACCTAAGGCATCAGATAAGGTTGTAAAACCAAAGTACTTTGTAATTATCGGGACTTGGAGATGAGAATGCTGCCAGCAAATCACTCGCATGTGTTTTCCTCAGTCATACATGCAATCATCACATTTAACAGCACAGGAGGAGGCATTGGCCCATCGTGTGTTGCTCACTGAATGAGCTCTTCGTTTAGACACGGAATATCAGAATCAAGCTAACCCTCTGTGACGGTCTCCGGTCCAGTTCCTGAGTCAGGCGGATCCGCAGTATTCCAGGACACTGCTGATGACACTGCACAGCCAGCCTGGCTCATCAGCAGGACCTGGAAGAGCAGACCAGTCACTGGTAGCAGGAATTCTTCCCACTCTGCTCCTGTTAACTCTGCAAGCCACATCCCTAACAAGTAGCGTGGTCGTAGCTGGACAAGCAGCAGGAAAGCTTGCCAGACAATGCTCTCAATGGCAAGCTATGTGGTTTTAGCTGGTTGGACTCCAGCAATTACCTCCAACGCAATATCTGGGCTCCTCAAGCCTTGGCTCTTGCCAAACTATGCTTAATGCTTTCTGGAATTAGGTAAGCAGGATGCATACTTCCAGGGAGAAAGTGTGCATTCCATTCCAGTAAGCATCTCTAGAATTTCTATGTATACATGGGATACACGGAATTCTCAGTTTGGTTTGGATGCTTTTAAACATGGTGATCCGGTTTCTGCGAGTGTCAGACACCAGGCTGACCAAAATAAAAAGCCTTTTGATGCTGCTCTTAAATTTATGCCCCCTCGTTCACGATCGCCGCCCCCCTCCTCCCAGCAGTAAGGTAGATATACTGTGAGGATGCACTGTTCTGCATTTACTGTCAGCAGTGTTCAGATGTGGTCAGCCAGGCCTGGACGTCCGGTGTGTCCCTCCTGCTATATGATTGGGTCTGCACTTCATTTCCTCAATTTCTCCCATTATTCCATGGGGTGTAAATTGGTTTATTGGTTGCGTGACATTGCAATCCCAGTGCCAGCAACTCTGATGAAGTCCATTCCAATTAAGTTCAACTCCTTTAAATCTGTGATCCCAGGTTCCATCCTACTCTCTCACTGTGTGCGATGTATCCCTTTAACAGCTCGGTTGACTGGCCAAACATTCTCTTCACTTCCTCTTGATTTAGGTGTACTTGAATATTGCTGTAACGATCCTGATCAAACTTGCCTATAAATACTCCAGGGGTATGTTTACCACTGTCTCGGCAGATACTCCCGTGCAGTCCTGGGGATGCATTGTCAGATGTCAAAGATCCATAGCTTCTCTTGGTATCCTGGCCAACAATCCTCCAGATATAACTGATCATTCACTCCATGGCTGTTTGCGGGACGTTGCTCTGCACAAATCAATTGTCGCATTCACCTACAAAATACAGTCACTACACACTATAGTAAATTCTGCCCTTCCAACATGAAAGGGGCCATCTCTGACCATTACTATTATAAATAGCTGTATGAACAAGCGTGAATGAGGTTCTGAGCTCTGTGTGCCGTTCTGTAACGGAGATCACATTAACACAAAATTGTGTGCACATTATGCAAAAAAATCTGCCTGTGCACAAAAATTGGCACACGGTGCGCACTGTGTACCCAGTTTATTTCCAATCCAAGACTTGTCAGTTAAAGGTCTTAGTTTTCTCGCTTGCGTCAGATGATCGTACTAACACGGACCAATCAACTGGCAGGTCCAACCCAAAAACTTGTCAATCAGATCTTGGGGGTTGGGCTGAAATGAAACTTACCAGTTGATTGATCCGTGTTAGCCATGTTCACATAGGATGTACAGTGTTTTTGGATATGCATGTGCGTACATTTTTGAAACTCTAATGCAGTCTCTGTGTAAGCAGCTGCCACTTGCTTCCCGGCCTCTTACCGAGGTCTGTTGCTTTGTCTTTCAGGGTATCGTAGGCAACTTAGCGAGCGGTAAATCAGCCCTGGTTCACCGCTACCTAACGGGGACCTATGTCCAGGAGGAGTCACCTGAAGGTAATAAAAGAGACGTCACTTTCTGCTTGTATGGTTGTTACAGTCCTGTATGTGGGGCGCTGCCATTAGGCTGGCATATGAAACAATGCTTTGATTTAAAGGGGGCCCGAGTGACCCACAAGGTATTCCGGTCTAATCTAATCTTGTTATATCTGGCCTTATTTATGTAGATACATGGACTGGAAAAAGCGAGAAAAAGCCCCTAGTGGCGCAAAGGCACTGAATGTAATGCAAGGATTATTATTATTATTATCAAGCCCATTTCTCAGGGAGCCCCCACCTCCGCCATGTCTCTCCTGGCTAAGGGGATGAGAAACAAATCCCAGAGAAACCCCGCCAAAATTCGGGGAAATCAATATTTACTCAAAGCAGAGAATTACTTGAATAATCACGAATAATAATAATATTAATAATAATAAGACTCATTCGTATGTGAGATAATATCATCCTTCACTGATTTGGTTTCTTTCCCTTTCCACACCGTGGATGTCAGCCTGGAACAGCCAATCGCACTCTCGCCTCTTGAGTCAGAAGGTTTCAAGCCCCACGTCAGGACTTTGAGATCACAGTCAATACTGACACTCCAGTGCAGTGCTGGGGAGCATTACATTGTCAGAAGTGCCATCTTTAAGATGAGATATTAAACCAAAGTCCCAGCTGCCTGTTCCAGTGGACGTTACAGATCCATCGCAGTCTTCAAAAAGTGAAGGGAGTTTGTTTCTCCTGGTGTCCTGGCCAACAATCCCCCAGTTATAAGCGGTCATTCACTTTTCATGGCTGTTTGTGGGATGTTGCTAGGTGCAATTGACTGTCGTGATCGTCTGTATATTCCGTCGCTATGTGAAGCGCTTTGAGAGGCCCTACCGATGTGAAAAGTTCCATATCAAATGTTAAGATTAGTATTAATATCTCCTCCTCACCTCCATGTCCTCAGGACTCCAGCTCATGCTGAAGTTCCACAGTGGGATTCAAATAGACATGGTTAGGTATAAAGATCCTCCCATTACACCTCTGCTCCTGTGCTGTTGTAGCTGTTCTCTGCCCAGACCGACCGTATCCTGGGAATTGCCCCCAGCTGTCAGTCCCTGATTTATACAACACCGGTGAGGAGGTCTCTGCTAGTGCAGTGCTGAGAGCGTAACCACTGGCGCATCGTCAGGAGTGGACCATCAGACAGTGAGAATTCTCACGTCACCTTCTCACCCAAATTTTAGATGAAATTGCTGAATTTTGTGATCAGTATTTTTGCATGAAAATGCTTCATTTATCATGTTCCGCTGTAAGACGCACAGATATTTTGTTCCGCTGTATAATATTTCCTCCTTCCCACTCATTACTGCAGAAGCTGAACAAATCTGCTGATCTTGTTTTCTTTGCTCCAAAACATAAATGCGCCTTTAAATGTACAGTTGCTCCTGCCCTGCTTCTCCTGGTTAGTGTGAACTCTGCCAAACAGACACAGACTTTCTGCCTGCGCTCTCCTCATTCAATCTCCGCTGGCCTCATTTCTCTCCGACAGCCCACTTCCAGGGATCTTTCTGATTGGACATATCGTTCCTTCTGTCAAAACGACCTCAGTCAAGAGAAAGCTTGTGGCAGTTTCACCCACAAAATACACAGTCCATCATAAGAACATAAGAATTGCCAGATGAGGGAAGACCAAAGTCCATCCAGTTCACCTTCCACCTTCCTGGCAGTCACCGAGTGCACGTCATGTCCCAAACTATATACTGTATCCCGAGATATTATTTCCTAAAATAAATCTATTTAATTTGCTTATGATAGAATCAACACTGTCTGCTTCAACCATCTCCATAGGGAGCCTGTTCATACATTTACTACTCACTTGCTGAAATAGTGTTCCCGCAGATTTGTTCTGAATTTACCCCCCTTCAATTGCAGGCCATGTCCTCTGGTTTTACTGTTCTGGACAAGACAGAACAGCTTATCATGGTCTACATTATCCGTCCCTTTAGAATCTTAAAAAACACAACCATGTTGCCTCGCATTTTCTTTTCCAGTGTGAACATGCCCAGGTCACTGGAATTGCTCTTCATATCCAGTCCCTCCATCCCCTCAATCATTCTAGTTGCCCTCCTCTGTATTTTATCAATCGCTACAATATCCCTTTTATACTGCGGCGATGAGAACTGCACACAGTATTCCAAATTTGGTAACACCAATAATGATTATAATGGTTTATAATCCACTCACTCCCTCCTGGTTTTCATTTCTTATCCTTATCCTTTGGATGAGACGGTAAACCGTCTGCCTGCTCAGGCTGATGTTAAAGATCGCGTGGCATTTTTCAAAAAGAGAAGGGAGTTTTTCTCTTCCTGTGTCCTGGTCAACAAACCCCCTAGATAAAATTGGTCACTCACACCATGGCTGTTTGTGGTACACTGCTATGTGCAAGCTGGCTGCCGCATTGCATTTCACCTATAAAATACACAGTCAATCCACTTTACAGTATATCCTGTGAAGCTCTTTGAGCCATCTCAACAACATAATAAGGCATATATCACATGGAAGGATTGTTATTATTATTATTAGTTTGAGAGGCTCTTAAAAGATAGCGCCCACGCACCCATCTTCATTCACTTCAGGCAGTAAAATCTCTTCATGCAGTACATGTAGTTCCGATTTCAGTTTGGCTGCAAAGCTGTAAAAAAAAAACAGTTACAGCATCCTGTACGTGCACCTGATGGTTCCGGGCTCTGCTTCCCCAGATGCCAAAATGATGTTGGCAAATGAATGGGAAACACTTTGTTTCCTGGTTAACAACAGTGCGACACAAGGGGGAGGAAGAGTGGGAGAGAGAGGGGTACAAGTGGACTGTTTTTAAAACAGTGCAGTTTCTCTCTGTTTCCTGTGGTGAGCTCACTGCCTAGTGCAGCGTAACATACAGACCCAAAGGTGGGCAATGTCACTTGCCTCTGGGTTTGCGTGGCTCATCCAGTACGGTCATCCTCAGGGCACCCTGAACTAGGGCCTGGGAATCCCTCTCTGTTCCTATTCCTATTCATCTCCAGTGTGTGAGTGTTGACAAATGGCAGATTCACAGAGGGCAGCCAGTGGGCCCAGGAGCCAAGAAAGGCTGGACACTCGCAGACAGTGACGGATCCACCACCTACGTAGGAACAGGAGTAGGCCATTCAGCTCCTCAAGCCTGTTCTGCCATTCAATTAGATCATGGCTGATCTGTACTTCAACTCCATTTACCCGCCATATCCCTTTATACCCTTACCTAACAAAGCTCAACCCAGCTCAATCTTCAGGGGAGGGAGTGCTGTTTATTCTTCGGTCACAGCTAAATTCCAACATAACCCATGGCAAAAGAGATGATTAACAGAGCCCTGTGCTGACGTCAGACTGTTATATGTGGATTTGGAGATTTCAAACACCGAGCTTCCTTAATTTGAGCTCTGCAGCCCCGCAGGAAGCTGGTATCAGTGCCTGGTGTCTGTTTTGAACAGACGCGGTGTTGATTTCCTCCCCCCAACCCCACACCCAAAAAAAATGCTTGTTTTGCCCTCTTGCTGAAAAAATGAATGACTGAATAGCAGGCCGGCTGTGAGCTGTGGTGGTTGTGTTCAGGTGAGGCTGCGGGAATGTGAAGCCATCACACAGCAGCTCCTGCACTCAGAGGGACTTATTTTGGCACGATTCAACAAGACAAGGGAGTTTCTCTCTACCATCCTGGCCATCAATCCCCCAAAATAACATTGGCCACTTATTCCTTGGCTTTGTGGGACATTGCTGTGTGCAAAACTGGCTGCTATATTTTACCCACAAAATACAGCCACTGCACTTTACAACATATCCTGTGAAGCACTTTGAGACGTCTCAATTACGTGACAAGGCACTACAAATCAATAATAATAATGATTATACTTGCCATAGTGCTTTATCACGTTTCAAAACACTTCACAGAATATATTGTAAAGTTGGCTGACTGTGTATTTTGTAGAGGAAATGCGAGAATTATTTTATTCCGACCCAATTGCAAGAGCAAAAAACCCTAACCGTCTATTGTTAGCTGGGTTTGGCCTGTGGGCACGCACTAGCCAGATGGGGGAGCAGTGTGTGGTGGTGTGGACCTCTCTCTCAGTGCCGTAACTCACAATGGGATGTTCCATTCTTTGCAGACATGGATGCAGGTAATTTTACTGTGTAATCGTGACAGCAGCAAATCTTTTCATCATGGAGGACGTGGCCCAGCACCACACTGCACAACACAGTAGAGTCTGATTGTTCAGTGTGCCATCCTTGTAATGTTGAGTCTTATATGTCCATTAGGCATCTCACTTTAGTCACCACCTCCCCATGTTATTGTCTATAAAGATCCATCTTCAAAGGCCATCGACCCCATTTGTCTTGTTGATGTTGACAAGGAAGTCCAGAGCACTTGTGCCTCGTAGCCTCATTGTTCTGTAAGGGAGAGGATAAAGAGGGAAAAGGAATAGGGTAGATGGCTTCATAGGAGGAGCACACAACGACACTGTGTACAGTGGGTTGAAAGGTCTTCTACCATCCGGTCAATTGTTGTAATTCAATGGGAGAGAGTCATTGTACATTTACTTGTGGGCTGTGGTCACCATCTGGAAAATGTGCTTAGTTACATGGCCGTGTTATGTAATGGAGCCTTCCTGTCCCCTTTGTACTCTTGGGTTGTTGGCAGACCCAATATTCAAGGCTTAGGAAAGGTTTGCTTTCACGCTGAACTAGGGCCTGGGAAAGAGTGAGAGACACCAGGAAATATTTCTTTAGTAATCTTTAGGAATCAGTAAATTCAGTAAGGGAGGCTAGTACAGTGGGTATTGTGTGTGAAGATAAATGCAAGTTGGTGTATCAAAAAAGATATATTGGCCCTGGAGTGGGTACAGAAGGGGTACAGCACAGATTTACTGGAATTGTACCAGGGCTTAAAGGATTAAATTATGAGGACAGGTTACATAAACTTGGCTTGTATTCTCGAATTTAGAAGGTTGAGGGATGATCTAATTGGGGTGTTCAAAATGATAAAGGGATTTGAAAGGGTAGCTACAGAGAAACTATTTCCTAAGTGGGGCATAATCTTAAAATTAGAGCTGAGCCATTTAGGAGTGAAATCAGGAAGCAGTTTATCACACGACAAGTAGTAGAAATTTGGAACTCTCTCCCCAAAAGGCTGTGGATGCTGGATCAATTACATTTTTCAAGACTGAGGTGGATAGATATTCAAAACGCAAAATACTGCAGAAGCTGGAAATTTGAAACAAAAACGGAAGTCGCTGGGAACACTCAGGAGGTCAGGCAGCATCTATGGAGAAAAAGCAAGTTGTTTTCTCCGTAGACGCTTTCTCCATAGATGCTGCCTGACCTCCTGAGTGTTCCGAGCGACTTCTGTTTGTGGATAGATATTTGATAGGTCAGGGTAATCAAGGGATACGGAGCAAAGGCGGGTAATTGGAGTTGGTACAGATCAGTCATGAACTAATGGATGGTGGAACAGGCTCAAAGGGCTGAATGTTCCTGTGTTGTTGTTGTATTCTGGGAGGATGAGATCAAATGGGTCGAAGTGTCTTCTGCATCTTAGGCTTGGCTGGTTAGCTGCAATCTTGGTTGATTTTAAAGCAAATCCTGACACCTGAATGAGGAGCACTGGGCTTTATATCCCAAACCTGTTAAGATGATGAGGCAAAAAAATCAGCACAATATTGAAGTTGAGTTTGTTTTGCAATCACAAGTTTCATAAGAGGAAGTAAGGCATTTTTGAAACAAAATGCTTACGTTAATGAGCCAAATCCTATTTCATGATCAATAATTGTGCCCCGGCTGGTTCCCTCGGCATGCTGTGTAACCAGTGAGGTGGCTCTCAGCACTTCCCCTTTGCATTAACAGGTATGTGGAGTGACGCATGCCTCACAGCAGTGCAGACGGGCATCTGCCAGCGGGTTTGTGCAATCAGTGACTGAGCAGCACTGGTTCCAAACCTCCAGAGCCTTTCTCGGTCATTCTGTACATTCTGCAAGAACGAGAGGCTCCTGCTCAGCTGTGGATGGTCACCTGACTCCAGTGCTCACCCGAGGCCCCGCCCCAGTGCTCACCTGAAGCCCCGCCCAGTGCTCACCCGAGGCCCCGCCCCAGTGCTCACCCGAGGCCCCGCCCCAGTGCTCACCTGAAGCCCCGCCCAGTGCTCACCCGAGGCCCCGCCCCAGTGCTCACCTGAAGCCCCGCCAGTGCTCACCCGAGGCCCCGCCCCAGTGCTCACCCGAGGCCCCGCCCCAGTGCTCACCTGAAGCCCCGCCCCAGTGCTCCACCTGAGGCCCCGCCCCAGTGCTCACCTGAAGCCCCGCCCCAGGGCTCACCTGTCACATTGTGGAGTGTTGGAGCTTTCCCCTTCCCAAGCTTAGATTCCTGGGAATGTAGTTATTGCACACCAGTTATTCACATTGGAGCATGTGTGAGTGAGATAGAGAAAACGCAGAGGGAGAGAGAAAGAGTGCAGAGTGAGGGAATGTGGTGGAGAGGGGAGCTCTCGCACAGCATCGCAATGTAACTTCTGACACAACAGGTTTTTAGTTGATGCTGTAATTTGCATAAGGTTCAGCTGTCAGCACTGTTTGCTTACCTGCAATGAAATTAATGCAGATAATGAGCACTTTAAAAAATCAGAATGGTTTTGATCGAGCGAATAGAGAGTTTCCATTAATAGGTGAATTAGTAACCAGAGGGTATGGTCTGATTTGAAGATCATCCGGAGAAGAATAAAGGCAGATTCAAATTGTTTGTTTGCACAGAGAACTGCTGGAGAATGATTGTGGAAGCCGGGTTGGCAACAGCATTTAAAAGGAAATGCATAAACACTTGAGCAAAAATGTTACTGCATTTGGGGAAAGGGCAGGAGAATGGGATTAGAGTCAGGATCTCCAGTAGGAGAGTGTGCACCAGCGCAGACGTGATGGACTGAACAGCCACATTCTATGCTGTAAGCCTTTGATTCTATTGTGTGTGGAGGGGTCTGGTGCGGGGAGAGATATACTAGTCAGAAGTTGAACACAATTTGAGTCTCGAGCCCTTCTTCGTGTTCAGACAGGAATCTGCTGGGAACAGCTCTTCCCAAAGTATGACTTACCTCAGCCACATGGCACAGGCTGGCCTGTCACTGCTCCCTGGACCAGTGGTGTTCTGTGTGAGTCTGGCGTGTTTAGTTTGTGTGTTTCAGTGTGTGACAACCAGCCTTCACATTGCAGTCCTGTCTCGTCTTTCTAAATTTCATCTACCTCATTTCAAAGCTCAGAGTGTCTCTGCGGGCCTGTGTGTCTATATGTGTCTGTAGCTATCTATATCTGTCTGTGTGTGGATGTCTGACTATGGTTGTCTGCGTGGGTGTGAGTGCCTGTGTGTGTGTGTCTATGCACGTGTGTGCCCGTTTGTGTGCATGTCTGAGTGTGTGTCTGCGGCTGTGTGTGTTTCTGTGTCTGTGCGTGTCTCTGATTTGTGTCGTTCTTGTGCCCTGGTCCCTGTCAGTGTGTGTGTGTGTGTGTGTGTGCCTCTGCCTTTCACAATAACCTGCTTGTGCGACAGGTGGGCGTTTTAAGAAGGAGATTGTGGTGGATGGACAGAGCTACCTGCTGCTGATTAGGGACGAAGGGGGCCCTCCGGAGGCACAGGTGCGTATTACAGTGTACATTTCCCCTCTACTTAGTGCTGAGACTTCTTATCAGCAGAAAGTAGGAACCCAGTTGTTAGTTGATTGGCAGATCGCTTTCTGGGGATAACAATCCCTCAAAAAAAATTGGGTCATTCATCTATGGCTGTTTGTGGGTCACGGCTGTATACAATTGGTTGTTACATTTCGTTCACAAAATACACAGTCAATCCACTTTACAATATATTCTATGAAGCACTTTGAGACATCTCAATGACGTGATAAGGCGCTAAATCAGATGCAAGTATTATTATTAGTATTTTCCCTGACCCCCTGCCCCCCCCCCTACCCCTGTGTGTGAGTGTGTATGTGTGTGTACGAGTGGTGCAGTGAAGTGGGTGCGTAATGAAGTGTTGCCATGGAGCTTTGGTTCATGTGTTCTGTTGCTCTTTGTCTACTCCTGACTTGCTGTCCCATCTCCTTGCAGTTTGCGATGTGGGTGGACGCTGTGATCTTTGTCTTCAGCCTGGAGGATGAAATCACCTTCAACACTGTGTATTACTATTACACCAGGATGGCCAACTATCGGAGCACGGCCGAGATCCCCATGGTGCTGGTTGGGACGCAGGGTAAGAGCCGCTTCCTGACTGTTCGCCCCCAGTGCCTTGGGACGTCCTCCTGATGTGAAAGGTGCTATACAAATGTAATTTGTTGTTGTTGTGGGCGCAGTTCTCAGCCACTGTTCAGTCGGCAAGAATTCAAATGGGAATCTGAAAGTACAGTAGAACGCTGGCCGTCTGTTCACCTGTCAGCTTATCATGACAGGCTCCAACACAGTGGTTAGCTGGCACACACAGGCGGAGATGCAGAGCCGGAGAGGAAGCACCAAACATAGCAACGCACACAGTGTGTGTGTATATCAGAGTGTTGTATGTGTGTGTGCTTCTGTATGTATGTGTGTGTATCAAAGAGTGTGTATGTATCATAATAGAGTGTGGTCTATAAGAGTGTGTGTGTATGAGAGACTGTAAGAGTGTGTGTGTGTTGTATTGGAGAGAATGTGTGTGTATCAGAGTGTGTTTGTGTGTGTGTTTATTAGAGAATGTGTGTGTATCATAGTGTGTATCAGAATGTATGTGTTTGTGTATCAGAGTATGAGAGTGTCTATATCAGAGTGTATGTGTGTCTGTATCAGAGTGTGTGTGTATTGGAGTGTGTGTGTAGATTAGAGTGTGTGTATATGTATATTAGAGTGTGTGTATAACAACAACAACAACTTGGATTTATATAGTGCCCTCCACGCTGGACGGCGTATCAGAGAGCTTCATAATAACGAATTCTGGGGCCGAGCCAAGGGGAGGGGGAAGAAGGTGACCAAAGGCGGTCGAAAACAAAGGTCTTTAGCCGAGACCTGAAAGTAGGAAGAGAGGGGGCGAGGCAAAGGGAGTGAGGAAGGGAGTTCCAGAGCCTCGGGGTGTAGTGTCTGAAGGCACGGCCGTCGATGGTGGAGCGGAGGATTCAGGGGACAAGGAGGAGGCCAGACCCAGTGGAGCGAAGGCAGTGGGCACTGTTGTGAGGAGAGAGGTCAGAGAGGTAGCGGGGATTTGTAAACAAGAGTGAGGATCTTGAAATCGACCCTCTCTGGGTCAGGCAGCAAAGACTGGGGTAATCGGGGAGAGGAGTTTGATACAGGTTAGAATGCGGGCGGCAGAATTCTGGATGATCTGGATTTTATGAATGGTAGTGGAGGGGAGGCCGGCGAGGAGGGCATTTGAATAGTCCAGCCGAGAGGTGACAAACGCATGGACCAGGGTTTCGGCGGCTTTTGGGATGAGGTATTGGTGGAGACGGGCGATGCGTCAGAGGTGGAAGAAAGACCACGGTGCTGGTGAGGGACTGGATGTGGGGGAGGAAGCATAATTGGGGGTCAAACCTGACGCCTAGGTTGCATACGGGTTCGGAGAGTATCGAAGAGAGTGCGTGTTATATTAGAGTGTGTATATATTAGAGTGTGTGTGTGTATCAGAGAGATACACTTCTTCAAGACCCTCTTCTATGACTGATTTTGATCATCCTGCTTCCCCCCACCCGCCCTCCACCCTCCCCAATCCAACCCCCAGCTCTGGTCCGAAACACTGTCCAACACCTTGGGACGTCCTCCCGACGTGAAAGGCACTTTAGAAAAGTAATTTTGGTGGTGTTGTGTGTGTAGATTAGAGTGTGTGTGTACATTGGAGAAAGTGTGTATTTGAGTGTGTGTGCATATCAGAGAGAGAGTATGTGTGTGTTGGTATATTAGAGTGTGTGTGCGTGCTGGTGAACACTGCCGTCTCCTGGCAGATACTGGTACTGCTCTGCTTTCTTTACGATTGTCCAGTTATTGGGATGAAATAAGTGCAACTTTGCTTTATAAATCTCATGTTCTCCACGTGGGTTTTAGATGATCCAGAGTGGGGAGGGGGGGGGTAGTTTCTATTAAATTTCTGTCCGACATTTTGTATCTCTGAGAGTGAAGACTGGCCTCACTGTACATTAATCGCTCACTTGGTCAGCAGATCAGGCGAGTGAACAGCCCTGTAGGACGCCCCGACTCTGACACTCGGAGAGAGTAAGCACACCCAAGCCCCGACCACACATCCTCAACTGCTCATCCTTTAGGTGTCAACCTGGCTCAGTTGGCCCCACTCTTACTTGAGTCAGTAGATTATGGATTCAAGCCTTTGAGCCTATTGGGCCTTTGAGCGCACAGTCCCAGCCAACATTCTAGTGCAGTGCCTGGGGTGTGCTGTATTGTTGGAGGTACCATCCTTGACCAACCCCACCCCTCACACTACTCCCTGACCAACCCCTACCCCTCACACCATTCCCTGACCAAACCCACCCCTCACACCACTCCCTGACCAACCCTCCCCTCACACCACTCCCTGACCAACCCCTACCCCTCACACCATTCCCTGACCAAACCCACCCCTCACACCACTCCCTGACCAACCCCTACCCCTCACACCACTCCCTGACCAACCCCTACCCCTCACACCACTCCCTGAACAACCCCTACCCCTCACACCACTCCCTGACCAACCCCTTCCCCTCACACCACTCCCTGACCACAGCCCACACTTGGACCCTCGCACTGATTGAGGGCAAGTGTGTGGGTGTGTATGTTAGTGTGCATATGAATGGGTCTGTGTATGTATCATTGTGTGTGCGTGTGTATGTGTTGGTCTGTGTCAGTGTGTTTGTGTATGCCAATGTGTGTACATTAGTTTGCTTGTAATAGTACCTGTTTGTGTGCACATTAGTGAGGCCATTCATGCATGTGTGTGTGTTGTGTGTGTGTATATATGTTTGTCAGTGTGTTATACATTAGTTTGCGTGTTATGTGACACAGTTATGTGTCTGCACATGAGTGAGTCCATGTATAATAATAATAATCCTTGCATTTGATACAACGCTTTATTACGTCTTTGAGACATCTCAAAGCGCTTCACAGAATGTACTGTAAAGTGAATTGACTGTATTTTATGGGCGAAACAAAATAGTTTCTATGTGTCGGTGTGTGTACTAGGTGCCTTTACGTGTATTAGGTGTCTTAGTGTTCACACAAGCGGCGATGTGTGTATGAGTTGTCATCCCCAACAACAGCAACAAAATTACATTTATATTGCATCTTTCACGACAGAAGGACAGTTAAGGGTTTGCCGAGCTGGGGGTTAGAATCAAGAGGGTGGGAGGGTGATCAAAAAGGGAAGTCTTAATCTCTTGCGCTAGGTAAACAGAGGCGTGTGGAGTAAGGAAACTTGCCCAAGACTTCGCCCTGCCCAGGAATCACACCTGGGTCCTTTCGCTTGTGAGTCGAGCGCACTAACCACTAAGCTACAGGACTCCATGTATAATCCCGTGACCTGTTCTCTTTCCACAGATGCCATCAGTGCAGCGAACCCCCGGGTCATCGATGACTGCCGAGCACGCAAGCTCTCCAACGATCTGAAGCGATGCACTTACTACGAGACGTGTGCCACGTATGGTCTGAATGTGGAGCGTGTCTTCCAGGACGGTAAAGACAAGCTCCATCTGCTGAACTCTATAACCTCACTGTCTGGGGACGGGATGGGGGTGGGAGAAAGGACAGGAGGGCAGTTATACTCTATAATCCTTATATTTGATATAGAGCAGTGGCGGCCAACCTGTGGCCCACTGGGCCATCATGAAGTGCCCCCCCCATCCCCCCTGAACATTCGCACGAGTCTCGGTAAGTCATAGTTCGATTGGTAGTGTGTTTTCAGTTTTTCTTGATTGAATATCAAGGTTGGCCACCACTGATACATCATTGTCACATCATTGGATGTCTCATAGTACTTCACAGGAGCACTTTAAAGTGGAGTGACTAGATTAGTAGATGAACACGACAGCAATGCCCCATAAACAGCGATGGAGTGAATGACCGGGGCGTTGTTGGCCAGGACACCAGGAGACAGAAACTTCCTTTACTTTTCGAATAGTGGAACCATGAAATCTTTAACACCCACCTGAACAGGCAAATTGAACCTCGATTTAGCGCCTCATCTGAAGGACGTCACCTCCGACAAGGCGATACATCCCAGCACTGCTTTAGAGTGTCAGCTTAGACAACGTGATTCCAAGTCTTGGTTTAGGGCTTGAGCCTTCTGACTCAGAGGCGAGAATGTTTGAATTTATTCAAGCTGTACATTAAAGGTCCCCTGGTGTTATGTAGTGTCCAAAGGCAACAATGAGCTTAGCATGCAGATGCTTTTCGAGTCTGTGGCCATTTCTTTTCTCAAATCTTAGGGATGGCAACCCTCCTGGGAAATAAACTAACCTGATCTTGGTGATTATCCTGCACGGGTATTTCTGTGTGGAACAGCAGAGGGCGCCGCATAACAGCACTTGAACATTTCCTCACTGGTGTCAGTGGCACGAAAACCAATGTCTGTGGGCTGTGAGGGTCCAATTGCAGCATTCAATGGTTTTTGTTTTATCGCAGAGATTCAGTGATTTTGTTGGATGTATTCAGTGGCCTTTAACCTGTGAAGCATTCTGTTTTTTAACAAAACAATAATCCTTGCATTTGTTAGTAAGTGAGATGTCTTAAAGTGCTTCACAGGATATGATGTGAAGTAGAATCATATAATTTTACCGCTTAGAAGGAGGCCATTCTGTTCATCATGCCTGTGCTGGCTCTTTGAAAGAGCTACCAACTCTGCCCACTCCCCTGCTCTTACCCCATATTCTTGCAAATTCTTCCTTTTTAAGTACCCAGTCAATACCCTAAGTGTAGTGACTGTGTATTTTGTAAGTGAATGTGGCAGCTAATTTGCCCACAGCAATGTCTCACAAACAGCAGTGGAGTGAATGACTAATTTTATTCGTTGGCCAGGACACCGGGAGAGAGACAGAAACTCTGCTGTGGGCACTGGCTGACAGGTTCTCAGGTCCCTCTCGATTGCTTTCAGGGCTGTTCACAGTAAATTAGTGGAATAATTCCCAGTCCTCTTTAGCTGATGATATTTATTTGTAATCACACACACGCACACACACGCGCGCACAGAGACACTCATTTTCCTCAGGGCATCTCCTAACCACTTTATGACCGATCCCCTGAGGGATGCGCTGCACTTCCAAACTGTCAGCTCACAGAGCATGAAGCCACAGAGAACTGCCTCTGAACTGTCTTCCCACATCTTCACATGGTGGGTCACAGCCTGCAGCCCCGGCCCGGAGAACTCCAATAATCCACTCTCAAAAGCTCAGAACATTACTGGGGCTGGCACCTGACACGTGGGCGTTCAAGTTCTTCTCATGGTATCCTGTAATGAGGGAGGGGGAGTCAGGTTTATCTCATTCTATGAGTCTGTGTGTGAGTTTGTGTGTGTATCTGTTTGTGTATATTTTTATGATCGTGTGAATATTTGTGTGTGTGTATTCGTGATTGTGTGTATATTTATTTGAGTGTGTGTGTGTGTGTTTATTTGTATATGTATGTTTGTGTGTTTGTGTATATGTTTGTGTGGGTATATATGTTTGTGTGTATGTATATATATGTTTGTCTGTGTGAGAGTGTGAGTATATTCGAGTGCATAATTGAGTATGTTTGTGATTGTGTGCATTTATGTGAGTGTTTTTATGTTTGAGGATGTCTTTGTGTGCAATTTAGAAGCTGGCAATAAAGCACAAAGACTAGACATTGTTTAGACAGTTGACCCTCAGATCAATTCAGAAAGCTGCTCCTCAGATCACTCTGCAGAGTGCAGCACAATGCAAAGCCCAAAAGGTTGAACTTCCTGGGTAGTAAAGAGTTAAAAACACTGGCATCTTTGTAAGGTAAGGAGTGAAGTGGAATCGTCAGATGGTCGGAGATTGTGGAAGAGGCTGAGCTAGGAAAACCTTCCTGTCTGGAGCTCTTCGGAAAGGAAAGGATCAAATTGGAGATTCCGTAATCCAGTGGGAGGAGGAGGAGTGATTGGGAAGAGCCTGACTGGTCCATGAAGTTGCTCCAAGAGCTGGAAGAGGAATGAGGGTGGAGCTGGGCCACTCGTCCTCCTGTTAACCTCTGGCTAAGCGGAGACCCCCAGGCACAGTGCTGAATGTCCACAAGAACTTATAATGGTGCCCTTCATGCAGGGAAGCACGTTAACAGTGGTGGAGCTTGACGGGGAGTGCGAAGATGCAGAAAGGATATGAAGAAGCTGTGTACAGTGTTGGGCTAACATGGTACAGTTGGACATCCTACTGTGCAGTGAGATCCCCTGGTTGCTGGGAGCGCAGTGACTGCTGGGAGCGCACTGTGTCCTCTCCAATGCAGAACTGGAGATAGCAGAGACAAAGTCACCCACGTCCCGCCAGGAGACTGGAGTCTTCAATCACTCTTTCCTCTGCCGTCACCTGGAAATGAGTGCCTGCAAAGTCACCAAGGAGTAAGCACCTTGTGGGTTCTTGACCCTAAAGCCTAGGCTGGTGCGCTAGTGCTGTGCTGGGGGAGTGCTGCATTGTTCGAGGTACCATCCTTTGGATGAGTGGTTAAACCGGGGTCTCGTCTATCTGTTTAAGGTGGACATTAAAACTCCCATGTTGGCACTGTTGGAAAAATGGAAGGAAGTTTCTCTCTCCCTGTGTCCTACCGACAATCCTCCATATAAAATTAAAAACTCACTCCATGGCAGTTTGTAGGACTTTGTTGTGTGCAAATTGGCTGCCGAACTCGCCCACAAAATCCAGTCACTACTCTTCATAGTAAATCCTGTGAAGCGCATTGGGGCATCGTCCCGACATGATAGGGGCTGAACTAGATGCAAAATGCAAGGTTTTACAAAATACACAGTCATTATATTCGAGACATTCTGTGCAGAGTTTTTGACATGATAATACTTGCTGTGAAGAGCCAAGGCCTTGTGTCTGCAGTTTAGCAGTTCCTGGCCTATCCGTTGTTTATAGATTAAGCTAGAGATGACATTGTGAAAACAAACAGCCTGGACTCTTCCCGTTACTTACCGCTCAGATGTTGACTAGCTATGTTTGAACACTTGGCTGCAAAGGGGTTAAAGCATATGTCCCCTGCTCGTGCTGTGCTCTACACTGAAGCACTGTAGTGTACACAGTGCTGGGACTGAACACAATTGGGACATCTTTGCTTTTGTGCACTAATTTGCTGTGATCTCTGTGGCATCAGTGAAACTTCCTGGGCACCGATAATAGGCCTGACAGGAGAGGCAGCTTATTCCAGCTGACATTGTCTCTTCCGATTCTGCGTCTGTACGTTAACAATTAATCATGGCTTTTAATTACCCATCATACCGGGGCTTATTGATGCAAGTGAAAAATATTAGTGTAACGCTTCCTGTCGTTTGCATGCTTGGCAAAGCTCCGCCGGGCCCTCCCGAGGAGAGCTGTGTGCGTTTAACGCACCAACGCGTGGATTTCACTGTTGTTGCGGCTCCCTGCTGCCTTCACACGCTCGCAGCTAACCGTGTGTTAGATATAGCCGGGCAGCCTGCTGGGCTCAGTGCCAGAGTTCACCTGCATGGGCACGCCATTTCTTTATGTCAGATGGGTGTCTGACACTTGCAGAAGCCTTTCACCTGCAAATATTCAAACCTAACTGAGAATTCCATGCAAGGAAATTCCAGAGATAGGTTGTTGGAATAGAATACACACTCTCTCCCTGGAGGGAAGCTTCCTGCTTACCTAATTACAGAAAGTATTATGCGCAGCTTGGGAAGAGCCAAGGATTGGGGACCCCGGAGTGTGCATTAGGGCACTGGCGGAGTCTAACCAGCTAAAACCACATAACTTGCCATAGTAACATAGGTGTTACTGTACTGTTACATAGTAGCATAGGTGTTACTGGTACATAGTAACAGGTGTTACTGGTACATAGTAACAGGTGTTACTGATACATAGCAACATACTGTTTGATCCTAATCCTGTTTTAAGGAGAGTTGCAAACATTGAACTGGGGGTAGGTTTTGTGAGATATTGATTATGGTTCTGGGTTCAAGCCCTCTTTCGATTCACAGTCCCAGGCTGACACTTCAGTACAGATGAGGGCGATGGAGTGAGGTGCTGGAAGTGACCAGGTGTGAGGGCGACTGGGAATGAGGGGCTCGGGGGGGATGGGGACAAGGAATGAGTGGGTGAGGCTAAGGGGGACCGGGAGTGAGGGAGCTACCAGGAGTGAGGGGAGGACCAGGAGTGAGGTTGAGGGTGACAAGAGTGAGGGGGACCAGGAGTGAGGGTGACGGGAGTGAGGGGTTGAGAGTGATGGAAGTGACGGGGTGAGGGTGACGGGATTGAGGGGTCGGGGTGACGGGGGTGAGAGGGTGACGGGAGTGAGGGGGTCGGGGTGATGGGAGTGAGAGGGTGATGGGAGTGAAGGGGTGAGGCTGATGGTTACTGGAGTGGGGGGGTGAGGGTGACGTGAGTGGGGGTGAGAGGGTGACGGGAGTGAGGTAGTGAGGGTGATAGACGTGAGGGGGTGAGGGTGATGTGAATGAGGGGGTGAGGGTGACGGGAGTGAGGGGTGAGGGTGATAGAAGTGAG